ATGTGGGATTCGAACTGGGGCCCTGCTGCTCAGAGCTGGTGTCCCAAGCCAGCTCTTAACCAACACACCACTTGGCCGGCCCAAGTAGTAGCTTTGAATCACTGTGTTAAATATATTTTTTTAGATGTGTTGTGGCTAGGCATTTTTCTCATTTACTTAATACTTTCCAGTCTAGTCCTGTTGATGTTAAAACTTTTAGAAATAGAGCCAATTTTTGTTTTTCTTAATATTTAATGGATACTCCTATTTTGTCAAGTGCTATCTGTAATATGTTGAAAATAGTCTTTGCCTTTGGAACGGTTAGAAGTCTGTGTGGCAATGTGTACTTCTGTATGTTCATTATATTATCTGTACAGATTGTCATTTGTAGACTTTCTTTTGGGTTCTGAATTAGAGCCTAGAGCCATCTTTGATGTTTGAAACAGTTTTAAGAATATACTTGTTTAGTATTATCTCTGAGAACAACTTAAATGAATATGGGCATACATTTATTAATCATGTGATCTCAGGTTTGTTCTGTAGAATTCAACCTCTGAAATTGATAATAATACTGAATTACTTTCTGGTTGTTGAAAATATGTTTTGTTTTGCTGAACTGAAATTATTCCCTGGGATATAAAGATTGTTTTTAGTAGAGATTTAATTTTAAAGGTTTTCTTTTTGTAACATTATGATTATTTTTAGCTCACATCTGACCTTTAATACTAGTTTCTGTGGTTCTCAATTAGAAATTTTAAGGAATACATGGTTCAGCAGCTTTCCAGGGGTTCTTCTAAAAGGCTTTTTTTAAAGTTCCACAAGAGTTTAGATTGACTTGCTAGTGGTTGGCTGCTTTCTCTGAGGGTTAGTGGGAAAGAAACCAAGTTCTGCAAGACCTTTTCAGTTCTGCTTCTGTCTCTTTTTTTTTTAATCCTTGTAGAATTTACGTTTGTTTATTTTTTAAAGATTTTATTGGGGGAATTGGGGAAGGGGAACAGCCAAGTTGTCCTTCAATCTTAGTTGTGGAGGGCATGGCAGCTCAGCTCAAGGTCCCCTGTTCAGTCTTAGTTATGGGTGGGCATAGCCCATCATCCCATGGGGGAATCGAACTGGCAACATTGTTGTTAGCAGCATGTGCTCTCACCAGCTGAGTCATCCTGCCACCTGTTGGCAGCTCAGCGGCAGCTCACTGGCCCATGTAGGAGTCAAACTGGCAACCCTGTTGTTCAGAGCTCGCACTCTTAACCAACTGAACCAGTTGGCCGGCCTGAGTTCTGCTTCTCTTTTATCACCAAGGTGGCTGACCCAGCCTGAGGCCCTGGATTCTAAATAAGATTTCTTTGAAAAATGTGTTCCATTGTTTAAATAATATAATTCAGTTCCTTCATTTTATTCATTGTGAGTTAACTAGCAGAGCCAGAAGAAAAATTGAGAACCATTATTTTTCTCTTTAGACTTTTTCATAGAGCCATCTCCTTTTCTTTTCAAAAAAAATCTATTTAAAAAATTTATTTTTCAGTTACAGTTGACATACAATGTTATATTAGTTTCAGGTGTACAACAAAGTGCTTTTCTGAAACTTTGTGTTTTTAATAAAACATTGAATTTCCTCAAACAGGATATTATCCATTAAAAAAATAAGATAATGAAATATTACTAATGGTGGTGATAAGCTGAAGAGGGTAGTTAAGCCATTGAGTATTAGAATTTGTTAAAGACATAGAGTTAATCAGAAACACCTTACAACTCCTGTATGCCTCTCATTCTCTGGTTCGTTTCTGGGATGGGTTCCTCCTTCCCTAATCAAGTCACATAAATTCATTGGAAATCTTCATATATCTAAGGTACTTCACTAAACTTTGCAGATGTATGTCATTTAAATTATAAGCAGTCAATTACTTTCCACTTAATAAACTTTGTAATTATATCTACTAGGAAGTATTAAGAGAAAGGCAAGAAAACTTAAGACTTGTGAGACTAATGCAAGACAAAGAGGAGATGATCGGAAAACTGCAAGAGGAAATCGATCTGTTAAATAGAGTGAGTCTTTACATATTTCAGTTTCATAGTTTCCTTGTTTTCTGGCAATTGGATAAAAATATATAAAGATGAAATTATTTAATTTCATTGTTGAGTTCATTTTTTTATTAATGAGATAGTAATTTGTGGTAGTAAAAACCATCATTTCGTTCTGTAAACTGATTTCCTCTGGCCAGTTATCAGTTGTATTCACTTAATCTTCTTTGGGGCTGTACTGATGACTGGGTTTGTTCTTTGTTCTTTGTTTTGTTAGAGCCTGGAGGTGAGAGGCCACTTGGTCACCACTGCACGCCCAAGGGCGTTGGCAGAGTTGCCTCAGGGAAGAGTTTTTGTGTGGTATTCAAACAATATATGGTTGCTGTTTTTTTCTTTTAAGATTTTATTGGGGAATTGCGGGGGCGGGGGGGGGGAACAGTGCTGGGGAAACAGACAAGTTGCTGTCGTTTTTTGTTCTTCAGACTAGTTGTGGAGGACGTTGATTCACTGGCCCATGTTGGTATTATCATTGCGCTCTTCTCGGGTGAGGCAGATGGGTCACCAGCCTCTGGACGGCGGCTCATGGCGGCTCTTGGCAGCTCACACCGGCTGCCAGCCGCTCACGCTGGTTGCCAGCCACACATGGTAGCTTATGGCAGCCCACTGCAGCAGGGACTGCAGCCTACGCCGTTGCTGGCGATTCACAGCAGCCCAGCTCCAGGTCGAGCCGTTTTTCACTATCTTAGCTTAGAGGGCAGTGTCACTGGCCCTCATGTGGGATCCGAACCGGGGCCCTGCTGCTCAGAGCTGACGTCCCAAGCCAACTCTTAACCAACACACCACTCGGCCGGACCTGGTTGCTGTTTTCTTGCCATAGGAAACTCCTGATGCCTTTGTGTGTATTTTCACCGCATTTTTGTCTTCAATTATATATATGTACCCCCAACTTTAGGTTTGTTACCCGTACCCCAACGTGTCTCTCACAATTTTTTTTAGCTTTTTTCCCCCCCCTTTCCGCCTTAGAATTTACTTTCTGCTTAAGAAGCAGGTATTAATGCTAGATCATATTTAGGTAATGGTGATAAAAGATTCCATAGTTGTGCTTTTTGGAAGACTTTAATAAGATAGAGGAAAGAGTTGTTTGCTTCAGGGAAAAAAGAACCAGATTCCTAATCCAATCTTAACGCTAACAATGAAAGAAGAGAAAATAGAGAGTTTTCATTATGTGTAGAATAATAAAGCTCTAAGCCACTAACTAAAGGCTATATAGATGAGGACACTAAAACTCAGAGTTTAAGTTTCTCAAGGTAATATGTAGTAATCACACAGTAATCAGCTGAGCCAGCATTTGACCTCAGGTATTCAAGAGTCCTAATTGTAAATAAGCTCTTCCATTCTTGTAGACTGCCTTTGATCTTGGTTCAAAACCCAGGCATTTTCTGTTGGTTCTGGACTATGGTATAATGAAGTCTACAAATAGTTTTGATGTTGATGGTGTATTAACACTGTGTGCCTTAAAGGGAATACTAAAACACCTGTGCTTACCGAGTTGATAATCTGGTAATGAAATGTGAATGTATTTTATCATTTAATTCTAAATCTTAGGTAGGTCTCAGTTGTAGTCATTTTAGGAATCTTGTATCTTTATTGTTGTTTTCAACAGATTAGTTTTTCAACATTATTTAGTTTGTGAGTAAGTGCAGACTCTATTTTTTGTACATTTTAAAATCATTTACCTAATTGTCCAGACAGAATACTACATTTATCAGAATACTGCTATCCAATAGCTCCAAGTTTTAGTATTTTGAATTGCAAGGATACATCTATAAACGTCTGCTTTTCCAACCATCAGTAAATAGTCTGCCTTGAAATAATGTTTCTTCTAACTAAAACTTAGAGTGGATTGTCTTTGTATTTACCAAATGGTTATATATATGGCAGTAGGATTAATATAGAGAACATAGAGCTAGAATCATATAACTTTAAAGCCAGAGGATCATTACCTCGTTTAGTGGCTTTCAGGTGTTTTTTTTTTTTTAAGCTCTAAAACCTTTCCCTCAAACAAAATGTCATAGAAAAGGCTAACATATAAATGGAACTAGATCAGCTCTATATGCCCCGATTTTTTTTCTGTATGCCTCAGTTCTGTCATTTCCTCATATGCTCACCCGACAACATGCATACTTATAAAAACAAAAAAAATCACACAAGGTTATAGGAGTACTTTCAGAACTTACACCTGGATTTTTTTGTTGCCTAATTTGATACATGGTTGCAGTTCGAGGCCTTGAACCTCATATTGCCCACATATGTATTTTGTTTAGCCTTAATTTGGGGTAAAGGGGTATTTGTTTTTAAATAAAAACTTAAGGTATTTATATATTGGAAGATTCACAATTAAAGAATTAAAGAACTCTGATTTTCTGCCTTCTCTTGAAAAACTGAAAGATCTGGCCAGAGTTGGCTCATATTTTGGTAGCAGTGAGAGGAGTTGAGTAGTGGGTGCTCCCTTTAGATGGGACATATTCCATCTAAAGCTGTTTTCAGAACTTGCCCTATTTCCAAATCAATTGCTTATATGAATTATCTTAGAATGTGTATTTTTGAAGTGTTTTTAATCACCTTCAGAATACTTTAAAGTATTTTAAAAACTCACGTATTATTTTCCTTTTTGTTTCCTTAAGGACCTAGATGACATAGAAGATGAAAATGAACAACTAAAGCAAGAGAATAAAACTCTTTTGAAAGTTGTTGGGCAGCTAACAAGGTAGAAGATTCAAGGCTCAGTGTGGGAAAAAGTATTTTAAAACTACTGATTGAATGTTATGGCTAATGCTAGGACAATATTCCTATGCTGCAATACATTAAGTATGTATATTTATTTCCAGTAAACAGTGGATGTTTATTTTCAAAATATTTCTTTTTCATTATTAGTTTCAAAAAAGTATCTACCTGTTATTTCACAAATAAGAAACATCTTTCAGTTATTAAAATGATAGGTTATGCCTCTTTTGGCTTTTGTGTGGTATTCAAATAATATGTGGTTTAAAGTCACAACCATTTGGATATATTTTATCTATGGTAGTGCATTTTCTCCCTAAAGGAATATACATAGTCTTTGTTTACATGAATTCAAATACTTTTGGGGAATTACCTGCAAATGCCTTATTACTGATGTGTGTAACCTTTTATGTGTTGATGATTTACTTGTAAAGATCTTTGTCTACTGTCATTTGCTCTTTCAACTTATTCTAAGTAATTTAGAGTAATATAGAGTTACACTATTTTGTATAACAGTCATCTTTAAAAAGGAAAGGTATTATAAAAAGTCCCTTAATATCATGTACTAGTTGGCTAAATATAAAATTTAAGAGAATACTTGAATTGTGTTATAATAAATTAAAATGTACTATTTTGTATTTGAATATTGAAAAATGTAAAATCACTTCAACTTCTGAAAAACATACAATTCTAATTTTAATGTAAAATTTCTTACGTTGATACTACCTTTTCTATTAGTCCAAGGTTTATAAGTGAACATGGGATATGTAAAGAGTTGTTTATTCATCAAGCCTGGAGAGTGTGTACAATTTCAGTGTATAAGAAAAAATCCGTATTTAATTATATGCATTAAAATCAAAACCAAAATATTTATCCACACTTAAAACATTTATATTTACATTACAAAAGAGTACATAAACAGAAATAGTACTTAAATACATTGCTTAATTTCTAACTTGGAGAATAACAATGACATTGTTGTTCTCGTATCAGAGAATTCTTGCCTGCCCTACCTCAAATTTAAGGGATTTTCTTCCTAACAGTGGATTTTTAAGAAACAGAATTATTTTAAAGACTTATACAACTTTTCTGTTAAATATCATTAGTGTTTAGAGTTGTTTTATATTATATTTTCATGTTGAATAAGCAAACCCCCTCCTTTAAAATACATTAAGAAATGTTGGCCTGATAGTTGACTCTCAAACAGTATACTGATATCCTTTTTATCCAGTTAATGTACAGAAGTGGCTTGAACATACCCATTTGGACCACCCCACTGATTCTTTTTCCTTCACTTGCCAAGCCCCTTCATTATTCACTATTAGAAAAATAGGGAAGGAGAGACAGTTGGAAAAAATGTAGATAAATGATAAAAATCTGATGTTGGATTCTAAAACTCTGTGCAGTGACCTAAGTTACCCCCCAACCCCAACCCCTTTCCATTTCAGAAGTTTCAACCTTGGCTGATGATCAGAATCACTTGGGTTGCTTAAAAAGAATTTCCTAGCTGTAGTTTCTAAGTAGTTTTAGGCTGAGACCCTGGACAGAATTTTTAAAGCTCATCTTGTTGATACTGATCATCACCTAGGTTTGGAAACAGCTGCCATTGCCTTTTTCCTTCTAGACCTTCCATTGGAGACTCTGGAATTAACATAATTTTAGCTACCAGCATTTTACCCCCTTTTAGTTTATTTAATAACCAATCTGGTCTCTGGGGAAGTTTTCGTGTGTGTGGGACGGGGGAGGGGTATAATGTTTTGTTTTTGTTTTTTTTGTTTGTTTTTTTTACTAAAAAGTTTAATGTTAGATTACCAAACTTGATATATTTGCAGAATTACTGCATAAGGGCATCCTTTTCAGAGAATAGTACCCAGCCTGGGAACAGTGATCCACTACCCACACGTCAAAAGTGGCTTGCCAGGCTCAGTCACCTTCTTCGGCTGTGAGGTATTCATCTCCCTTTAGTTAGATACCCTTAGGTGTGTGGCAGAAATATCAGTATTGCCTAGTTTCCCAGCTACACTTTGGATATTGTGAAAATGCTGTCAGTATCCAGCCTTAAAATACATTACTACATGAATGTGTTGGTTTTTCAGTAAAAAAAGTATTTTGAATTTTCTATTTAACCATATATAGTTAAAGGAATATTTCATTTCCCTTCTTAAAATTATTCCAGTTATTAATATTTCCAAAGACTGAGCTGTTTTAAATTTTTTCCTTTCCTTCAGTTTATCAGGAACATTTCCAGCAGTGATCTTTTACATAATGGTACCTAGTGCAAATACAGTGCCTGACAACTTAGGCAAAGCTTTCACATGCAGTTCTTCCATCCTTAAATACACATTTATGTCACACATAGACTTTTACACTGAATGTTAAAAAATAAGTAGGATCTGCTATACTATCTTTAAAATTTAGAAAAGGCATTGAGATTTTAAAAAGGTAACTTATAAATACATGTGCACTACCTTAGAAAACTTGGCTATTGTCAATAAAGTGCTAGTATTTGTGAAATTATTAGTCCTGTTCAGAAATAATATTTCTTATATTTCCTGGGAATTTGTGGCATAATAAAGCTTATCCAAAGTTCTAATGTGTTTATGATATTATTTTCAGAACATGAAGGTTATTAAGTTTAAAATGAACATGACTTGACTCTCTGATTTCTGACATGCATTACTTGTGAATTACTGAAGTAATCTCTATTTGATTTCTCCTGAATTATTTTATTGCACTACAGTTAACCGTTAGAGAGGAAAAGGAAGGCTCTAGGGTGTTTCTAAGGGAAATAGCACTGTCACACTTGCTCAAGTAGTTTAAACATGGAAAATTAAGTATCGGAGCAGAAGATACATGAAGCAATGTATTCTTTTTTTTTTTTTAATAACTTTTTAATTGTGGTGGAAGCAATGTATTCTTATGGTAAAAAATCTACCTCAGTTACACGTTTTATGTTTTCTGGATTAATCTGGGTTTTTATAACTAGAAATAAAAATGCAAGATTTTATGTCCACTAATACTTTGTTGAATATAATGCAAGTCAATGTATTAGATATATTCCAACACCATAAGACAAAATAGGTAAGACCTGTGGTTTGATAATTGATCTGATGTCCTAGACAATACTCACATGTCCAGTGATAGTCATCTTTCATCATTTCTGTAGTTTTATGATCTTGAATCAGTGCCTGGTAAGTTCCATGCAGTGTTGGCACTTAATAGCCTTTGTTAATATTTTGTTAAAGATTCAGGCATATATTTTCATCTTGTAATGTAAGAAACCAAATACATCATCTTTTCTTGGGGGAAGGTATGTTAAGTGAGAATGAAATAGCATTCAGGAATCAGAACTTTAACATGTTAAGAGTCAGTGCTGTACACTCTGTTATTATATCTCAACCATTCCTAACGTATAACAGTAAACTTCTATTGCATTGGAACTATGCTCGCTCTCAATAAAGGACATCCCATTGACTAGCATTCTAATTTATATTACTTATCTTAGAACCCAGGACACTTTTCTTGTTCCATTAAACTGAAAGTGTAATACTAATAGACAATGAACATTTTGTTCATCAGGTGCCTCCACAAAGGCACTCTTCTGAACCATGCTGATGCGTTTCTCAGTGATGTATAGAAGTTGGTTGTTTCATTTTCAGTGTAGACTTGAACCATTTCATTGCCCAAGAAATCCTGAGCCCATATTTTTTAATTTTACTTAGCTGGAATCTCAAAGCAGGTTAAAGTCATATTCTCATCTCCGAAATAATTATGTGTGAGCATGTGAGAGGAATACTGATGAGGGGGTTTACCTTAAATTTTCATACGTGTCTTTCAGCAAGTATTTATTAATCAACTGGGTATACAGTTACAGTTGTTACAGAAGTTAAAAAAACAAAATGGACATGGACCAGCCTTTCCATCTAACGGTGTACAATCTATGGAGTGTGAGTCAGTAGCACAAAGTGCAGTCTTAAGTAGCATTTACTTGTCTAATCTGAATAGTTCATTCAAAAGTATTTTTTGGTATTAATTGTCCAGTCATTATCTTTTAGGGCTAGTTATTTAATAGGTATTTGCTGCAGTCTTTACTGAATGGTGGAGTGAAAGATCTGGTGCATATTGGGAAGTATCTTAACCACATTTCTTTTAGATAATTATGCATTATTAAAAGAACGTTTTAAAGGAATTTATAGAAGTAATGAAATAAAAAGAATTCAATGTATGTCAAATAACACCAAACTGTTGATGGTATTCAAATGTGATTTTTAAGTTAGATTTTCTTTATATGTTATTGATTACTGGTTTCTTTTAGGTATTTAAGTCTAATAAACTGTACACATATCAGCAGTCACTTTGATGATAGAACAATTACTTGATGGACATTTATTATGTGCCTGTTTTGTTTTCCCCTCTGGAAACCTAATATATGTCTATTTTCTTGGTGAACTTGTTTCTTCAAAGATTTGGCTATGCTATTCAAGGTTTATATTATTATGTTTTTCTTCTAAATTTGAGTATCAGATGGCTGCTGCTACCAGCAAAGATGATATGAAAGCTAAAATTTAATATTGAAAAATCAGCTAATTCAGACAATCCAAATATTTGTAGACAAACACCTGGATAATTTATTGATCACATTACTATTGTGTAGAGAGCTTTCATAATTTCCATTGCATAGGTTTTCATTGTGGAGTAATCAGCTTGATTTCACTTTTAAAATACTTTGCATGTAAAATAATACTGAATAAAAATGTAAATTTTCATTTATTTTTTAACACTGATTAATTATTTCCTTCCTGTACTATCAGTAAAACCCAGACCATGAGTTTTACTTTTGAAGTTAAAGGATGATACTAATATTCTGATTAATTTATGTGTGTCTTACTGAAACAGTATGCAGTACTTTAAAAATCTTGATTTAGTATAGTATTGTAGAAAGAATAATGTTTTAAAAAATAAATATAGTGTTGATAAGATCTGAATACATTCATGGTGAGGCTTCTTGAATATGTGAGAAGTGTACACATGTCCAACCTGATTGAAAATTTTAATTGTCTCTGTGTTTTAAAGCTACATGAGTAATTTCTTAATTCAAAATTATAATTGTTATCAACTAAATCTGATGGTGTTCAAAGAATTTCAGTTCCTTCATAGTTTGAAAAAGATAAGTAGGGGTCTGGGAATGTAAAAATCCAGCCTTTGTTTTTTTAGTAAATGGTTTACATAACCTTTTGCTAACGTGTCATTCTTCATCCACCTGCACAAGCTAATCAGTCTTCTTTACTTCTAGAACTCTAAATTAATCTTTTCAGTAATGTCATACATGTCTAACAAGTGAACAAGCATCCTTCAGTCAGACTGTTTAGATAATATCTCAAGTCCTCATATAAGGACATACTCCATTATTGGAGCAAGCCTATTGAAAACATTTGCAAGGCCTCCTAGTCTTAATTGGAACTGGTGCCATTTACCTTAGCCTTCATCAAATCTTTTTTTTATTTTTTTTTATTCTAGATTCACTCTTTGTGCACACAATTCTATCAGTAGCTGTAAATACCCACATATTTTCTTAATCGCATGCCTTTAGTTTCTCTTTTCATCTCTACAAGAGATTACATTTTATTCCTGGTCAGCTTCTTGGAAAGAATTTATGTAATGTTGGGCCTTTGTGTTAAAGAGATAAAGAGATATAATATCTGTTACAATCCATTTATTTTATTTTGATGTTTAATCAGATAAGGTTAAAAAGGAAGCTAGAAAGAAAAACTTCCCTCTTAATACTGGAACAAATGCACAATTTTACTCTCACTTTAAAAAAAACTTCTGTGTCTGAATAAAGATGCTTTTAATAAAGGAAAAAGCTCTCTATTTGGTGTCAGATAGTAAAACAATATGAAAAAAAAATTAAGATGAGCCAATTAGGAAAAGTAGATCGTACTTTGACTTTATATATGTGAAAGACAAAAGTTTTGACTGCTATGTATTTTACATTAAAATGTGCAAAATTATTCTGTATAAATTAGTCTTAATCCATATGTGATCAGTTGCTATCCCTGTTTAGATATAACATGGGCCATGATATTCACAATCTTTATGTTACAGACTTTTATCCAGAGAAGTATTAGCATTCCTTTAAAATGTGAAATATTTACTGTGGTTAAACAAAGGTTGATGATGTCATTAGCGGGCATTGTAGTTTTATGGAAGCAAATTAAGAAAAATTAATAGAAAATTTATCTGATTTATTACTCTTGTAGTCCAAAAGTGTAAACAAAGCTATCAGTCAAAGGCATAGGAAATCCCATTTGAAGAACTTAAAAATCACTTTTGGTAACAATACATTCGATACAGTGTTAAGAAAAGTTGGAAAATTATTAGCTTGCCATAGCAAATTGAAAGTTTCATGTAAGGATGATTCAGGACAATGAAGAACATCACTGCTTTTAAAGCAAAATTATGTCAGTAATATCAATTGTAGTATTTACTAAATATTGTAAATCAGTGAAAATTGCAATGGGATGAATAAATGAACAATTCAGAAATGCAACTGATAATCATAGGAAGCCTAAAAGTACCTGTTGCCTCTTGCAGCACTTTTAAGATTCGTATACTTTGAGGTACAGCTAAGCATAGAGACTCAATTAACAATTTGAGCGTAACTTTAACCCTAATTTAATATAGCATAAAAACATTCAATAATTAATAATTCAGTAGCCATATGTGCCAGGCATTGTGTTAAGTGCTTTAAATATTGGGTTTTGGTTTTTTTTGATTCTTTAAAACTTATGCATGATACAGATTGGGAAGTGTAATTTGCCCAAGGTCACAAAGCAATGCTTTGTGCCTATGCTATGACATACTCACTTTTATGACATAATCATTGTCCTATTAAATATTTTGCCAGTGGTTCTCAAAGTGTGGTCCATAGACTAGTAGATTTGGCTTTACTTAGAAACCTGTTAGAAGTATGAATTCTTGGGCTCCACCCAATACCTCAATGAGGTGAGGCCCTGCAATCTATGTTTTAACAAGCCCTTCAAGTGATTCTGATGCAGGTCAAAGCTTGCAAATTTGCATTATTCATTTCTATTTTTAAGCAAAGATCTTGGTCTTTCTTTATGGCCATTGTATAAATAACATGACATGAACTTGTAAAAAAAAAAAATGATCCTTTTCATTGTTGCTTACATTGCAAAAAGATTGTATCCGGAAAGGCCTCAGCATGGATATTGGCAGTTTGACATAAACCCATTAGTTTAGTATTATCTCTGGAACTGAAATGGATTCTTAAGTCCAAGAGACTGGAATGAAATCTTTGTTTTTCTGTTAAGGTTGAATCGATCTCTGTCGTTGCCTGAAGGTTTTTGGTAACAATGCATTCTTGTGAAATTTTAAAACTTTATTGAAACAAATAAAAGTTATGTTTCATCAGTTAGAGTTTTGTTTTTGTTGTTTTTTTGCATGTATGGACACTGTGAGGTGGTCCATGGGGAGACTGAATCTTTAAAGTATACTCTCTGAACTCAGAAAATTAGTGACGTTTTCCAGCTAATTGACCAGTAAGGAGAAATCCACAATATTGCATCCCAG